AGGGAAAGGGAAAACAAATCCTGACACTCAGCTTGAAATCTCTATACACTAATTCAGAGAATTTTCCTAATGAGGAGGTAGAGAGTTAGAAATTCACAGCTAATTACTACAGTTTCCATTCCCAGCTGAGCTGCTGTTCATTTTACAACATAACTAAGATGCAGTGTAATAATGATGAATTACTGTGATCTCTGAAGGAAAAAGTTGTTTCAGATCTTGTACAGTGAACATTCCTATAAATCGACAGCCTTTAGAAAAATTATTGCCTGTATAAAAAGATCCTTAATGAGCCACAGCCATGGGAGGACAGGAACACCTAGTACTGGTCTAAACTAGGACTTCATTTTGAAATTACCCCCCACCCAGGTCGAATTTGTAAGTGGAACAGTCACACTACTAAGCCCGTTATTTCGAAATAATGGGCCACGGAATTTGAAATCCGTACTCCTGCTTTTTATCAGGAGTAACGCTAATTCCAAAATAATTATTTTGAAATAACAGTAGTGTGGATGTTCCAGTGCTGCTAATTCAAACTAATTACTCCCCAGTCCTTCCTGGGGCTTTAAGTCCAAGATAGCACGTGCACATTAACAGAGCCTGCCTCGGACTAATTTCAAGGCTTCCCTGTAGTGTGGACATGCTAGTTTGAATTTGTTAAATTGGGAGTTAAGTCAAATTTAGTGATTTCAAAATAATTTCCTAATGTAGCATGGCCCTAGTGGCCAGACTATTATTTTCAATAGTTTCCCTTTTCCTTCCCAGACTTCTAAAAAGTGTGTCTGGTGAACTGCCACACTGGGTCTAAATTCTGACAACATTGACAGCTGAAGCATTGCCAGTCTGATATGGAAGGGTATGATATCAGCATGCCACACAATATTCTAATTAAACATTAATGCAGCTTTGATCTGCTTCCTAGGTCATTGCTGACCTCAGAACATATCATTATCAATGTTGTGATGCGTGTGTGTGTGTGTGTGTGTGTTAAATTTGCCCCTCAACTCGCCAAATCTGTTTTGCTTCTCCCTCCTCAGCTTTGCAGTGCATATTCATGCATTCATAGATTCCAAGACCAGAAAGGACCATTGTGATTGTCTAATCTGACCGCCTCTACAACACAGTCCATAGAACTTCTTCCAAATAATTCCTAGAATGTATCTTTTAGAAAAACATCCAATCTCAATTTAAAAATTGTCAGTGATGAAGAATCCACTGAACTCTAGCTAAACTGCTCCCGTACATCACATAATTAATTCAAGGAGTCATTTGATTCAAACAAACAAAAAGTTTAAAAAGTGGTTTATGGATGAAGTACACCAACAATTGTAGTTCTAGTGCTCAGACTTGAAATTTTGTAAGTAACTTTTGGATTTGCTTTCCTGTGAAAGGTGGGTAATGATCCACATCATTTAAAAGTGAACTGAAATGCTTTCTTTAGAAAATGTCTGATAGCCTAAATACAGAACGTGACTCCACTAAAAAATAATAAACTAATGCATTTACTAGGAAACTGTACATCTTTTTAACTGAAGATATGAATTCAGGGTTCCATGTCTCTCCGGTAGCAGCTGACATCAATGTCCTCATTGTCAAGAACTATTAGTACAGTTCCTTTCCCGTTTACACTGCTTTAGGTGTTAATTATATCATCAGTTTTAGCACTGACATCACAGATTCTGGAACCTAGGTATTGGCAGATAAAGAAACCAGCCAAAAATAAACAAGGTAATATTTTTATCTCTTGGGTACCAACAATGAGCTCCCTGCCCGGGAAGTATACAGTTTAGGTGCCTCATGAGACCTAGCAGTGAATGAAATAGACCAATAGGCTGGGATGCGTTGGGAGGATGAAACAATAAAACAGGGTTTAGTGGAATAGCAGAAGTCTTAAGTTGCCAAAAGGTGCACTAAGACTTCCTCTTTACTGCTAAATACTGATTTAATGTTACCTCCTCCCCCAGCACATATGCCCATTTTGTCCTTCTGTTGCATTGCATTCTGACTGGCACCTAGAATGTAAGCTCTCTGGGGCAGAGACTTTCTTCTTTGCCCTTGTGGTTCCCCAGCAAATCCTAGGTGTTACAATCATGATACCTGGAGAAGCCTCAGCACTATGCTAAACAAAATACTTCCTAGCTTATAAGCCAGCTAATTCGGGAACAGCTCCCATTAAGGAGTTACAGCCCACATGCACACCAGCTGGGAATCCTCCTTAAGCTAAACCGGGAGGTGTTGAAACAGTCAGTCTGGAATCTGACACGTTCTTTTCTTTACCCAGTATATCAATTTCACCTCTCCCCTTCCACACATCTCCAGCCTCCTGTGCATCCAGTGGGTGCCATGAGAGGCTCCAACACATTATCAAACAACATATTGCCAGTGTGGACATACGAAAGTGCATTGTTAGGTCATGGGCAGGGGCTTCTAGAAGTACTGGCCAGTGCACAGCCATCTAATGTGTGAGCTAAGTAACTTGGAAAATTTACTGGCATAATATCCCAGTATAATTCTAGACCGCTAGTTATATCAACATAACTCCCCATGTGGACTTTTATTCTGGCATAATTATTCCACTACATTTTCCCATTGAGATTAGATCTAAATCCAGGAAAATCTCCAAAAGCACCATCCTGTGAGAAGCATGTTCTAGTATTACACAGTATTATAGTATTCGCAGTATAGCACTAGCTTATGCCATAATAAAATTATTAGTGTTTAAGCTACCACCAGACTCCTTGCTGCTTTTCCTAAAACAGACTAAAGTGGCTACCTCTGAAACCTGCTATTACACTGTAATTTTTAATCTGACAGCATCTTACACTATTCAATTGTATACAAAGCCTTGTCTTTTAGTTTACACTACTGAGTATTTTCTTTCAGCTTTACACTTCCAATTAGTTAACACTTGTTTTCTACAGCCAATGAGAAAATTATTTAAAAGCATTTAAAACACCTGGTCACCTACATGGCATGAAACTCCCAGAACAATTAAAAAGCCAGCACATGTTTCACCAAGAGAATATTTAATAGTAGCAACTCATCCAATTCCTGGAAGTTCCTAAAGAGAGAGAATCGACTTGAACGGCAAAGAAGGTAGAACTAGGGGAAGTGCAAGAATCTCAGGCCACAGCACGCATAGCAGAAAGGGGGACAGGTTGACTCAGTATTACATTGACAACAAGTTAAAACATAAGATTAAATAAAGAGCAAGGGGAAAAAATAAAGTCAGGTGTACTGGGAAAAAAGCTTCAAAGCATACAATGATATAAATGTTGTGTCAAGCAACAATGGGCACATTAATGAACCTAAAACAGCATTTGATCAAATGCATACATTAGAAACTCAAAGATGAGCAAGACTTGTGTCAGGGAAGAAAGAATGTGCTTGCTTATACTTCAAATCTCTTCTCTCTCTGACCTCTTACAAAGCTTTCTTTCAGGCCCTGAATTCAAGCAAAGTTACTACAGGTACTAATGTAAGAACAGCTTCCAAATGTAAGAACAACTTCTAGTTTTCATTCTTCATGGAATTTTACATGAGAACATCATGTAGTCCTTGTCTTTCAGGACGTGGTGCAAGGCCAACTTTTTGCCCGGGTGTGTGAAGAGGTGGGGGACTGACTATGGTCACTGTTTATGGGGTAGAAGTTTGGCGGAGAAAGTTCTGCTTTTTTATTTCTATTAAGAGTGAAGTTTTAGCTCAATTTTCCCTGGAGGCTTGTTGCTGCATTTGTTTTTTTGTAGTATGGTCATTTAAAATCATGCAAAAGGCATCCAGTGTAGCAGATGGATCTATTTTACACAGTGATATAAATCTTAATTAATTAATGGTATAGTCATAGTGAGCTATTTAGCAAAGACAATTGGTTAGGCATCTGTCTGCCACAGAAACCCCTAGAATCAGATGTTGCAGGCTCTCAGTCTTAGCTTCAGCATTACAGAGTTACCTTTCTGTTAGTATCTTGCTCTGTATTGCCTATTCTTTGTGTTTTTCCTTCAATTCCTGGGTACTGTCTTCCATACAGAACATATTGAAATTGGCCATGAAGGGCTCTCTTATCCTTCATAATTTGTTTCAGTAACTGTTACTTAAAGCATGATTCAGTTTGAAAAGTGACTGCATAAATATGATATGGTATCAAGTCCACTAAATTGACATGCATAAAAATTGCTGGGTTTCTGTCAGCCCTGAAAATTCAAATGGGCATCTGAAAATCAACCCCTTGGTTCTTTCTTTCTTATACATCATGCATTTGCACTGGTATAACTGATTGGCTGTGGAACTGGAATTTAGCAAATAATTCTATTGCTGGTACATAATGGAAACAAACCAACAAAGAAAACTCAGCTCTCTTCCAGAGCTGTGTTCATTTTGCAGTGATAACAGAAATAAAAAGCAATACAAATGTTTGGGTCACTGATGTAAGCAGCTCTGACTTACAGTCTGTACAGGGAATAGATCTGCTGTGTAAGAAGGGACTATATTCTACAGGGTCACTTTTCAGAGCACAGCTGAACTTTACCCTTTACTTGGCATTAAACAAACAGATGAAAATTGTTTTAATGTTTCCTATGCAAGCTCAGTTACTATAGTCTGTAAGAGATATTTTTGGTACTCTCTGAAGAGGTATAGAAAATTAGGCTGTGTCCATCTTTGAGGGTACGTCTACACTACATGCCTCTGTCGGCAGAGGCATGTAGATTTGTTTGTTCAGCAAAGGTAAATGAAGCCGCAATTTAAATGCCCCCATTAGTGCCTGTAGTTCTGCTCGTCATGAGGAGTAAAGGACATCAACAAGACTGTTTGCTCCCATCAACCTCCAACTATGTGGGCGGCCCCAAACCACAATTTAAGATACGGTGACCTCAGCTACATGGAAGTGCTTATCTTAAATTGACCTTCCCCTTTAGTTTAGGCCAGGGCTTATTTACACCCTTTATCAGGATTAATTTGGTAATAGAGTGTTGTCTTACATTGAAACTAGATCACAAAATACTCACTGATGGATCCTTTGCTGACTGAAAGGGGCAGTGTAGCAGTCATTCTCCTCTAGGTCTGGCAGTGTCTCCTTGTCCAGTCTCATAGGCTTTCTAGGCAACCATCCTCGAAACCTGCTGATATGTCTCTCGATCCTATAGTACAAAAACGGTAACATCAAATGAGACAGAGAACAAGCAGTGATTGCTTATCAATTACATTATAATCAGCCACAGAGAGATTTTACTTACAACAATCCCTTTCTCTCCCCACTACCACACCCACCCACACGGAGACTTCAGAATTAATGGTTACTAAGAAGCCAAATATAACTTTGAGTCAAAGAGTCCTCAGATTATGAATAACCAGAGTTTGTTAGAGCAGCGTCTTCTTATTTGTGTCTAAGAGAACTGCAGAACATAGAGTATATGATGCTGAAAATCTTAGTAAAGCTCTTGGCAACTTTCAGAAAGCTACATTTATATGTGGGAATTAACTGACACACTACATTAAGGACAATTAACATTAGGATTGCAGAGACCATGACAGAAAGCTTTAGTAGCTGAACCCAAGGAAAAGAAAAACACATTCATTGCTATTTACCACAGACGCATAATCATATAGGAGGCTATCAAAACAAACCACTTTATTAATTTGTTTCATTTGCAACATCTTGTGGTACTACACACGTTATCCAATCTCACAGATCAAAGCACAACATTTGAGAGCTGACAGCAAAGTAAGTTCTCATATTTAACAATCCCACGTTAGCAGGTGAAAAAAAATGGAGGCCAAGCAGGTTAATAAGAGCATGTTTATTTGCTATGCACTTGTACAAAAATACATAGTGTCAGTCACCCAGGGGACGAATTGCTGATGATTAAGGGTAACATCCTAAAGTAAAGCCAACTCCAAACAAAAATGCTACAGAGAAAACACAGATAAGAAACTTGCTTTGTAAAACATGTTTTGCTTTCTTGAGAGCACTCAGCAACATCATCTACACTATTACCTCCTGTGGATGAAAGACATGGTCCCAGTCCTGCAAAGACTAACCCACATGTCCAGGTTTAAGCATGTGATTAATCCTATTTATGGAACTATTTGTATGCTTCATGTTAAATACTGGTTAAGTCTCTGCAAGACAGGGGCAGAGGACCTGGTCCAACACCAGCTGAAATCAGCAGGACTCCATTCCAGTTGCTTCAGTGAGTGTTGGTTTAAGCCCATAGTTTGGAAATATATCTGCCTCTTCTTCTCTCTTCAAACATCAGCTAAATAACTTCACAACTCAAACACATTTTATTGAGATTTTTCTTGTGTCATCTGTGGTAAGAAGAGTTTTTGATATTCCTACTGAAGCAGCTGAGGATATGAGAAAATTACTCCAAAATCCCATTTGAAATCTTAAAAAATAGAAATTTTCATCCTCTCCTCTACAATTTAGTAACTGGCTGTTACTTTTGTGTCTTCTCTAAAGGCAGGTAAGTGCTGCAAACTGTTATTCACAAGCACTGGTTCTAATATTGAAACACATTCCCTCTGCCTGTGTTTGTACATCTTGCATGTTCTCTTCCTGTGGATATTCTCATGAACAAGTTATTAGGACTGCTTGCCAAAACAGGAAATTTTAAGTGAACATAGCAGAATAGTCACACAAAATAAATTTTAAATTCTTAGTCATGCCTGTTTGCACAGAAATCTTGAATCTATAATGAATCTGGACGATGTGATTTCCTGCTGGAGCTGTTATGCCCACTTGAGCTCTGACTAAGCTAGACACTAAAAATAAAGGTGTACCTGCAGCAGGAAGAGCAGCGAGATTGGCTGTCCGTCTGAGTACATACCTTTGGTCTCAGCTGGGATCGTACTTGGGACGATAAGAACATACTGCCCTTGTACTGCCATGGTTACATGTCTATTCTTAGTGTGCTAACTTGATCAGAGCTAACACAGACATGTCCACTCAAGCTGAAATTTACACCTTCCAGCTCCAGCATGGGCATACCCCAAGAACTACACTCACCAATGAAGATACAGTAACACTACCATGTGACCTGTGTGACCATTCAAAGAGCTCAGATGGTGAATCTCAAATACTCAAAGCAATACTTGCAGTGACTCATTCATGAACAAAACACAACAACAAAACAGGTGCCAACATGGGTGAACAGAGACTGGCAGCTGCTGGCCAGAGGCCCAGTTCTGAAGGCAGCACCAATGCCAGCAGCAGTGCAGGAGGAAAGCTGGCATGATATTGTATTACTACCCTGACCTCTGCACTGCAGCTTGCAGTGCCGCTGCCTTGAGAGCTGGGCGGGTAGAAAGCGGTGGCTGCTGGCCAATAGCCAAGAGGTGCTGGGGCTATAAGCTGCCACGCCTAGAGTTGGCAGGGGTCAGACTTGCCAAGGGCCAGCACAAATTAAGCCTGGAACACAGGCAGAGATACATTCCTACAAAACTTTCATTGAATAACCTTAAACAAACAAATCAATGTGGGGAAATTAGAATCTGTTTAGACACAAGTTTCAAGAAAGGGATAAATTAAATATTTAAATTGATTTTGAAAATAACATCCCCAGATTTAGTGTAGCCACCAAATTTTAGCAGACTAATTTATCTTTTTTAATCATTCTTCTAAATTGATGGGGTTCGCCTACAGGGATAGTGGTTTTATTCCAACCTAACCCTTATTTAAACCAACCTAACCCTTACTTAGGGTGACCAGTTTTGTTTTGTTTTTTTATTTGCTGTCCCAGAATTGAAGTAGAGAAGTATCTGAGTCTTAAACAGGAATTTGTCAGGGATTTTTCAGAGGATATCTTATTTTTCTGTCACTCTCCTCCTTCATGTTGGGTATACATTGGCACCACACTGCCAAGAAGTAGGGTCAAAGCTGTAGGAGCCATATCTCCACTCAGAAGGCCTCGTACTTCATGCACATTATGTGTGAAGTTAGAAGGATATTGTAACAGAACAGCAGAGAAATGCAGTTTTCCCTCACAGGATTTAATCTCCTTTGCCCTGCAGTTTTTCCTGTCAGGGGAAACAGGACCCAATATATATTACTACATTTTGTGTTAGATTGATGACAATGGAGGGGGGTGGGGGAATGTGTGAGAGAAAGAGGACACACACATGACTTCAAACACCCAGTTTCATGCTTAAAAATTGGGTAAAATCATCTGGATTTTCAAGACTACTTAGAAAGCTTATTAATCTGCAATCCTCTCTCCATTCATCTTGTAAGACAATGTGCACATTTGAGATATGTTTGCTGTAGGTTTATCTCAGTACACACAGGGCTAATTTAAGAACAATACATTATTCATGTTAACTTCACACTGAGCACTATTGGAATTTGATTGGTTTGTCATTCTCAGGGTTCCAATTCCTTGGCATGTTCAGTGGACTCATTCCTTGCCTGCTGACACAGAGCTCTCAGGGGGATGCATGCTCCAACAGGTCTAGAATATACAATGCCACAAAATCTCTCTTTCCTCCGACATTCAAAAGAATCAGATGTTTAAAAGATGCCTTTATGCTGCTTTAGCATGGCCACCAGCCACCGATGCAGGATTTTACTTCACGCTGCTCTCTCTGCCCCTCAAAAAAGCAGGCAGAGGCAAAGTGTTGACCCCAAAACACTGCTCTTTATTCAACACGCAGACAAGAGGAGTTAAGATGTATTGTGTTTCATTGCTGCTTTGAAGTTAATCTATGGTTCATTATCATTACACATATCAAAGGGGTAGTTCTCACTACATGCCATATAGAACAGCAGGTGACACTGAGAATATAGTAATAATTCTCTCCCAAAATGGGATGCCAAGGCTCTGGAGATTCTAAGGGCGGGGATACACTAGGATTGGAAGGTATTAATTCCTGCTTGAGCCAACACACCCATGCTAGCTCTGGTTGAGCTAATATGCTAATAATAGAAGGGGAAGCATGAGCAATGAAAGGGGCCACCCATCCTGAGTATGATTCCATTCAAGAGCACAGGTACATATTCGAGGTGAGTAGATTATCTCACAGCTCACGTCACTGAAGTTACATGTCTGTTTTTATTGCAGCAAGTGCAGGTATGTCTGCTAATACTGGAATTTATACTTTCCAGCTCTAGTGTAGACATACCATGAGACAGTGGGGAAACTACACATTTAAAACAATACATAAAATTAAATCAGATTTTAGAGGTAGAGAGGGAAGGCATGCAATGGATACACTCCACCTGAGACTAGCTGTAGTCATGCTAGCATGACCAAAGAAAGGCTCTTTTTGACATATATCTGTCATTGGCAGGGAATAGACTAGATGAAACCATACAGCAGAACTTTGCACACTTCTAATTTCTAGGATTCTTCACCAGAAATCTCTGTTCACTATGGCTTGAGTTTCAGATGTGGGGACACTGAAGGACTGAAGTCCACAGCAAAGGTATAAGCAAACGATTAACTTTAAGTAGATACTTAAGTGCTTTGCTGAAATGAGCCCTACGTGGACAGCGTTTGGAATGGGAAAACAGAGAGGCATACAAAGCTACTTACGCAGGCAGAATTCATTCTAGCTAGTTAGGTGAGGATTATTGTGCCTTTTAGAGCTATGCAAACCGTAATGAAGAAAGGCAGTGAAAAATCACGTAAGAAAAATTAATTGACAGTGCTCTCCTGAGCTCCTCTCTCAGAAACATAGTCACCTGTAAGTCTGCTATCTAAAGCAGGGGTGGGAACCTTTTATGGGTTGGGGGCCACTGACTCACAGAAAAATTAGTCAGGAGCTGCATACAAGTGAGAAGCAAAAAAACAAACCTTCACTGACAGGGCCCCCAACTGAGAAGTAGAAAGACATTTCCCACATTCCCCTTGCACATTAGAGCCTAGGAGGTCCCAGGCTAGTCTTATTTTGTGTGCTCCATCCCTGCCGAGGAGCGGAGGGAGAGCAGTGAGGGGGCTGGAGTGTTGGGATCCCTTCACTGGTGTCCTGTAACAATGTGAGCTGTGCCTGTAAGGGCTGAAACACTCAAGCTCTGGCCTGTGTCTGAGGATATGTCTATACTACAGCATTAATTCAAGTTAACTTAATTCGAAATAGTTAATTCGAATTAAGCGAATTAGAATTAACGCATCTACACACAAAACCTATTTCGAAATAG